AGGGGTTTAGGGCTTAGGGTTTTAGAATGTTTTCGAAGTAATCTTGTGCTTTACCTGAAGGCCTTAAGGGTGTGAGGATAATGATGCTGCAACTTTCGGGGCTTCTACTGTGCAGTTTCAGAATGTGTAATAAGTAAATACAAGTACATAATATAAATATATATATTATATATAAAGGTATACTAGGGTCCATTATGTGGCGCGTAGGTACCTCTCTGATTTGCGCATCACTCGTGGCTATTATTGTCACGAGACGACGACTGCAACTGGTGCCTCTGCTGATGCTATGAATACAATTCCGGTAGCCGATAACTCATTCTTGGGTGTTGGGGAGTTCAGAAATGTGGCCTTGGAGTGTCGGAGAAGTGCTGCGCTTTGAAGTTTCGACATGATGGCTTCAAGGTTCAATCCTGTACTAGGGCTCGGGGCTTCAGGGTGTGGTTCAGGGTGGCATAGCACAGCTTGAAGCAGTGGGGAATGTTGCTTTGGTGCTTCGAAACTGCTAGCTGCTATCTAACCATTAAACCTAAGCACTGGAGTCGCCAAAACGGCCCGGGGCACGTTAAACAACCTTCGCTTCGAAGTCTCTTCTACCCGGAACCGCTGCTGAAAGGTTAAGGGTTTGGGGGCTCGTTTGTCGACCCATGGTCAAACTATTCCTGTGTGTTCGCTGCCTCTCTCTGTCTGTCTCTCGCTCTTCTTATATACCCGGACCCACGAGACGTTCACAGTTCCCTACAAAAGCCCAGGCATGCTAAACCCTAAACCCTAAACCCCCATCGGGAAGCCTCCCATGGACGTGGTAGTCAGTTGGATCCCCGAGCGACTTGTTGAACATGGACCTGCTTTCCCAAAGGCTCCATGTACCTTTATAGTAGATACTTAAGCCTTAAAGGGGTCCCTATATAGGTACTTTAAGGCCTAAGGATCTACTATATGGGCACATGGAGCCTTAGGGTTTTTTGGGAACACCGCACACTCGGTTTGGGACTTAAACAGGCATCGAAACAAACACCCTCAGGTTGGAAATCGCCTGGTTTTGTAGGGTTTAGGGTTTAGGGTTTAGGGCTTAGGGTTTAGGGTGTAGGGTTTAGGGCTTAGGGTTTGGGGTTTAGGGTTTAGGGTTTAAGCAACATGGTAGGGAGATCCCACGCAACAGTTCATGTTTGGGTGCTTGTTTATTCCTGACCTACAGCCCTCAACCTCAAAGCTAGAAGCATTCATACAGCCCCAATTGCTCCCAAGGTCTGCAGCCCAGCGGCGACTCTCCAGATAGACCACCAACCTTTTCGCAAGGCAGTAAAGTGAAGGAGAGGGGAACAAGGAGTGCTTCCCAGCGACTTAAATCATAAAAAGTATTAAGCTCCTATAACTTATAAGGGATATTCCTGACTTAAATCAAAATCATTATTAAGCACCCTAGAACTTAAGGTATATGTCCGACTTAAACTAAATCGTAATACTTATTAAGCCCCCTAGAATTCAAGGTATATTCCCAACTTAAATCATAATAACTTTTAAGCCCCCTAAAATTCAAGATACATTCCTTAACTAAGCGGTACCAGTGTTGGGCTCTCTGGGTTCGTCTGGCAGGGGCGTAGAGTCAAGCAGGGCACGTGCTTCGGTGGAGTCCGAAAGGATTGAAACATGGTCAAAGCAGCCCCAAAACCTGAACCGTTTAGGGTTTAGGGTTTAGGGGTTTAGGGTTTAGGGGTTTAGGGTTTTGGGATTTTGGGTTTAGGGATTTAGGGTTTAGGGATTTAGGGTTTGGGGAGTTAGGCTTTAGGGACTTTGGTTTCAGGTATTTAGGGTTTTGGATTGAGGGTGTAGGGGTTTCGGGTTTATGGGGTTGAATAAGCTTCAGACTTTCCGGTGCGGCTTGTGCTGTCGTTCAATAGCCAAGCCCCTTGAACACTTCACATTTTCTACGCCGGCCAAATATGAATGCCCAGTAGACAAGATGTACATAATGCACTTATAATATTTAACAGTTCTGCGAGACAAGGTTGGTCTTTGCATCACACTTGCAGACATTGCTCTACTTGCCGTATACAGAAACTACTGATATTCCTGCTCTGGCAAGCCTGGCGCGACAGTCTGCAACTTGCCTATACAGACCCAAACTATGCAATTTTTGAGAAACGGGCATTGATTCGGCAACTATCTTAAAACTCCGATAAACTGTTACTGTTTAGGGCTTAAGGCCACAGTTTAGGGCTTGGGGGCTCATTTCCCTAACTCAAATGGAGGCAAATAGAGTAGGTTTTGGGGGATATATTGGAATGATAAAAGGACCCCAAAAAATAATGGGAGTTGTTCTGGCCCCTATCTTACCTAAACAGTAAGGTTATATCCCGAGTACTACACTCTAACTGGCTTTCGGTGTCTTAGGCTCTACTTGTCGGCAATTGGCCCCATCAAGTTTCTCTAAGACGAGCCTTCTGCAGCGAAACGTAGGTGTAGTGAATGCTGCGGTCCTCCAGAACCTGCGACAGCAACACCCTTTCCGGTTGAACCATAAGGGTCCATGTACCCAACTAGTATATGCTGTTGTGGCCTTAAAGTAAGCCCTACATATGGGTGGTTCTCTAAATTAGGGTCCCTTTTTGGTCCCGAATACAGTAAGGCACCCTTATAAAATGGGACCCAAAAGGGACCCTAATTTAGAAGACTACCCATAACCCTAAACCCTAAACCCTAAACCCTAAACCCTAAACCCTAAACCCTATACTATCTGCAAGCTCTTTGGGTACATGGACCCTTTTGGGGGAACCCTGCGCGGACCTAGGGCTGAAGGTTTAGGGTTGGGGTAGGGTTTAGGGATTAGGGTTTAGGGTTTAGGGTTTAGGGGTTTAGGGTTTAGGGTTTAGGGTTTAGGGGTTTAGGTGAGGCTTTAGGGACCTTCGGCTCCCATGTTCATAAACCCCTGAACCCTAAACCCCTAAACCCTAAACCCTAAACTCCCTTGACAAAGAACCAAAAAACGGAATCTTAACATTTTGGCAAACGTTAGAGCCCGGACCCGGACCCTTTAAACCCCGAAAGCAGACACTCTGAAAACGAAAAAATCGTCAACCCTTAGCCCTAAAACCCTGCAGCTCTAAACCCCAAACCCTAAAACCCTAAACCCCCAAGCACGGCTTAGAGCTTAGGGCTTATAGGGTTTAGGGTTTAAGGCCCTATGCAGCCAGCCTCCTCCTCACCGCCCTCGCCAGTCGTTGAGGACGATTCCGCCTCACGCAGAAGCGCCCTTCCGTGAAGGTTTCTGTAAGGGTTCCTTGCAGCAATCTACAAGGGAGGCCGTTGGGGTGAAGGTTGAGGGTTTTAGCATGGCGGGGCATTAGGGTTTTGAAGTTATAGGGTTTACGTCTAGGGTTTTGAGGTTATAGGGTTTACGTCAAGGTTTACGGTTTAAGGTCAGGGTTTTGAGTTTAGGGTGGGTTCTGGGTGACCCTAACTAGTGTATTTTGGCTTTTCGATGAAGCTTCCGGACAAGTGAAAATGTGGCATCAAGCCCGGAGAGTCCAGGTATACAACCATGAAGGAGCTTGTCCGCAAAACCTATCACAGAGATGTTCTTAAGAGCCCGAGTCCAGAATGGCACTCTACGACAATCCTGCCCAGACTTTGCACTATACCCTACTGGTTGTGATGCACACGCCTTAAAGCATCATCGGGATCCTACCATAGCTTAAAGTCTACTCCAGACTTAAGGGATACTGGAAGATCTTCGTCTTGATGATAAATGTAAGGGCCTTAATAATCAAAACAGGGTTTTGCGGGTTCCTGATGATACTTAGAGTATAATATACCCCAAACCCTGTTCTAATTATTATTAAGGCCCTCATATTACAGAGCCTTTATGGCCCCCTTATGGTATCCCTTTTAAGGAACCCTTTAAAGGAACCCTCTTCCAATCATTAAGGCTCCTATATATCACCCGAAAGCCAAAACCCATGGAGAGCCGCAGGAATCCTAAACCCTAAAGCCTAAACCCCAAACGATCCTCCGCCTCCATGTCCGCAAAGAGGCGGACAGCCAAAGGAATTTCCCTGATGGTTGTTTAGGGCTTAGGGTTCAGGGTTTAGGTTTTAGAGTTTTAGGGTTTAGGGTTTAGGGCTTAGGGTTTAGGGTTTAGGTTTTCGGGTTGAGGTTTAAAGTTTTAGGGTTTGGGGGCTTAGGGTTTAGGGTTTAGGGTTTAGGGTCCCCGGCTCGGGCTTTGGAAGCGATAAGAAACACGTCGGTAAAATCTGAATGGGGCATTGGGGGCATACTCTAGTGTGTTACAAGCAAGAATCAAAAAGGACCTGCTTTCGAAGGGATATCGTTTATCGCCAATTCCTCTCATCTCTATATCGAGGTTCCGGGCCTGCTCAGGTCGTAATTTTTACCTAGGTTCCCCAGTAGCCCCTTAATAATAAGAGTACCCTTTTCCTAGTATATTATGAATAAGGGAACCCAAAAAGAGAAAAGGGCAAACGGGTACTACCGGGAGACTTAGTTATGAGAGTTGCAAAGGCTCCGGAATCAGGAAGTATGTCTAAGCATGCAGGTGTGTGCGACTACTTGCAGCATGTAGCCTTGCAAACGTGCGTAGTACAGGGGCCTAGACAATCAGAATAGGGTTTTGGGGGCTCCTTATTATAGTTATAGTATAACATACCCCAGAACCCTGTTCTAATTATTAAGGCGTCTGCAGGCTTTAGGTGCAAAAACAGATGTACAGATGCTACAATGATACAACACGAACGACACTGTCACTTTAACACACGCAACAATATCTTTGCTTGCAGACAAGTACATCCATTGGAAGACAAGTGGGTGGTTGTCAAAATTACGGTCCCTTTTTGGGTCCTTATTATAATATGGCACCTATTATTTAGGGTACCCCCAACAGGGACCAGGTTGTATCCACAACACCGGCTTGAGGCTGCGAAAGGTGTTTGGGGTTTAGGGTTTTGGGGTTTGGGGTTAAGGGGTTTAGGGTTTAGGGTTTGGGGTTTTGGGGTTTAGGGTTTAGGGGTATATCTTATCATGTGAGGAGAACAGAAAACCTAACATCCCCCACCCAAAAGACAAAACAAATCTGAAAGAGGGTGTGCATGTGTGCACTAAGATATTATGCGGTTTGTGTAGCTTAGGGTCCGCGGTCCGGAGGAGAGTATCATTCTGTTCGGGTCCGCGGGTTCTTACGCTTGGGGTCCAGGGTGTAGGGGTTTAGGGTTTAGGGCTTGTGTTGGGGCTTGATGGCTTAATGTTTAGGGTCAGTCTAATGCTTGTGAACCAGTCACACCGAACCCAACGTGTCCTTCAATACCGACACCTCTAAAGTGTCAGCCGCCGTTTCTGGCAAGTCCGTAATATAATATAGGGGCTTCAACATCATCATGATGTTTTCCCCTTCGTCGATACTGCTCATCGTGACCTAAGTGCGAGGTCGGGCAGACTGGGTTGAAGCTTTAGGGTAGCACTTGCAAAGTTGCCAAACCATAACTTCAGGTTCTCTGCAACATTTTTCACGCACTCGCCTTACTCAATCCGATCTCCCGCGGCAGAAGCCGAACTGGACCCAGCATGGTGATCTGAAAGCTGCTGGACAATCTGAACAGCTGCTTCTCTCAGAACTAATCGAGAATCATTTTGAACAGCTGCCAACACTGCCAGAGCTTGCTCTCATGTGGTGTCAGGCGCTGCCAAGACAAACGGCACCACGCAGGCTGCATGCATCCATGCGAATGGTCCCTAAACCCTAAACCCTAAACCCTAAACTCCTAAACCCTAAACCCTAAACCCTATGGGAATCGTGGAGAAGTCTGACAGTGATGACATTTGCTTCGCCCACTTTTCGCCAGGTCAGCTTCTTCAGAAAAGCCAACCGTCTTCGCAAAATACGTACTCGTTGGGCCACATCTTATACTATTTTGGAGGTTCCTTATTATAATTCGAGTATAGTATTGTCATTACTTGGGCCCCTATATCAGACCCTCTCATTTCGAAACCCTATAAGCTTCTGTAGCCCTTAAACCCTCTGCCCCCTAAACCCCGGACCCTCTGCCCTGAAGCCCCTCAACTCAGACCTCATGAAACCCGAAACCCTTGCACCCCTGCGTGAACTACGAGCCCCTCCCTTCTTTAGCAAACATTCAGGACGTAAGGCTTCAAGTTTAGGGTTTAGGGGTTTAGGGGTTTAGGGTTTAGGGTTTAGGGTTTAGGGGTTGAGGGTTTACGGGTTTAGGGGTTTAGGGTTTAGGGGTTAAGGGATAAATATTGCCGGCAAATTGGGTTTCGAAACACTGTAGTTCTGCTTGCACGTTTTGGAGTCCCGTGAAAAACTCTAACCTCCTCGCGAAATCCAAGGTCCCTAATCTAGGACATTTTCAGGTGGGTAGTTACCGTTATAGGAGCCTTAAAGAAGGTCTATATACCTTATGGAAGCCTTATAGAAGCCCTATATACCCTTAACTCCCCACCTGTAGTTCCTTTAACCTACAATGCGCCTTGGTCGCTCCACGTCGTACCGAAGCGATTCCTGCCGCAGCTTTTCCGAGTTGGCACTCGCATCTTAACCCTAAGCCATATAATCCCTAAACCCCTGAATCCAAAACCCTTCACCCTGAACCCCTGAACCCTAAACCCCTAACCCCTGAACCCAAAACCCGCAACCCTAAACCCTGAACCCTAACCTTTCCCCCAAACCTCGGGATCTGCCACAGAGCCCGAAACCCTAAACCCTACCTGACCTAACCCCCAAACCCCAAAACCCTAAGCCTGGACCCTAAACCCGAAGCCCTTAAATACCCCAAACCAAGTGTACCTAAATTTGACCTAAATGCTGCATGGGATGTATAATTACAAAGGAGTTTCTGCGGGTTTAGGGGTTTGGGTTTAGCATTTGGGCGTTGGGTCTAACTACCTCTATTCAGGGCCCGCATTCCCAAATCAGTCCCTAAACCCTAAACCCTAAACCCCCTAAACCCTAAACCCTAAACCCCAAACCCTAAACCCTAAACCCTAAAACCCAAACCCTAAACCCCAAACCCTAAACCCTAAACGCTAAATAAACCCTAAACCCTAAACCCTAAACCCCAAACCCTAAACCCCCGGAAGTCCTGGGAGAATCCGTCCAAGTCCAGTGGAGGGCTCCGGTAGACCTCTGCCAAAAGCCAGGGCTTCGGGTTTAGGGTTTAGGGTTTAGGGTTTACCTGTAGTCTCCATGGTAGTTCCTTTTTGGGGTTGCTTTATAGGATCCTTAATATAAGATTGGTTAAACCAAAAAAAGAAGAACTACAATGGAGACTATAGGTAGGGCTTAGAGTCTAGGGCTTCAGGTTGAGGGTTTAGGGTTTGGGTTTAGGGTTCACGGTGTAGGGCCCTAAACCCTGAACCCCTAAACCCTAAAACAGGGCTTAAAGCTTACCAGCAAGTTCGATGGCATAC